GTTGGCCAGAACACTTCAAAGTTGGTATTTTGTATTTCCTATTGCCTAACATCAGCAGATGCATAATGTTTCATTCTGTTTCTTCTTGTAGGGTCAGATTGATCAGTAGATTCAGGCCTTTTTGTCATGATGTATTTATTGTTGAAGTTCCCCAGCAGCTTTCAATCTAGTGATTTTCATAACTGTTATATAATTAAGGATTAAAATAGGATATTGTGGTGATATTCTGTATCTGTCCTTTTGCATTTACTAATTGAGAATTTCTTTAAAGAAGTTTTAGTCAAGTAGGTGGTTTCCTGTGAGACTATTTTGCCATGTAGAAAAGGCAGGCTAACTGCTTAATTTTTCCCCTTTTTGATCTGACTAGTGAATTTGTGGAGTGCTAGTGTGGCGCTGTAGGATAAGCACTGGACTGCAAGGTCAGTTTGAACCACAGGGTAGCAGTTCAAACCCACCAGCTTCTCCTTGGAAAACCTATACAGGGTTGCTATGAGTTGGAACCGACTCGATGGCACTTAACAACAACAACAGTAAATTTGTGGTTTTCATTTTTTTTTTGAGTTATTATGAATTGATGGATTTAAACATCTCTGTTGTGCTTTATATTGAAGTTATTTTGTTTTTTGATGGCCATATTGCCCTAGTTTTATCCTAGTGAGTGCCTCTTCACATTGGCTTTGTAGACCTTTTGGTCTGATTTCAGTAATCTTGAAAATTTCAGGTTCCTCCCATACATTTAATGCTCAGAACTGAAGTATCCATTTCTCTAAGGATTGGTTAGATCTTAAAATTCCCAGATAACAGAAGTGAAGTGATTGGACTGAAAGAAGCTTGTGGAAAGCTCATTGTCCTCTCCACTTAATCTAGTACTGTCCCTGCAGGACTGAAGCGCATGCTGCTTACTGCTCTCTCTGTGGAGGGTCACTCTCTGCTTCGCTTTTCGTTTTTCTCCACAACACGGGCTAGTAAATGCAGATACTCACTAGCCTAGCTGACTTTGCTATTTTGTACAATGAGATGTAGGTGAAAGACAATTTTCAGTTTTTTAGAAATAGACATTATGGTTTTAGATTAAAAAAAAAAAGCATAGATTTAATTTTCAGAAACCTGTTTCTGTACTCATAGAGAGTGAAAGTAAATTTCAATGATGAAAAACAATGGATAGTTTATAAATTATCTGTTTTTTTAAAATGATCTTTAGCAACCTCAATTTATATCCATAATTATGTTTAGTTCTGAGTAATATATAATAATTATAATAATAACGCTTTTATCCAGGAAATAGTCTAAGTACTTTCATTTGTTAACTTACTTTATCTTCAAAGCAGCCCTATGAGGTAGCTGTTAGGCATATCCTCTAATTATAGAGGAGGAAGGTAAGGTAAAGAGAACTTATGTGACTTGCCTAAGGTCACACGGCTGGTCAGTGAAGAGCAAGGGTTCTAACCCAGACACTTTGTTTCCTGAATAAGTGGAAAATTGTTTCCATTTCCACAGTACCAATTTACTAACAGTGGGTGGAAAAAGGCTATGAATGTATGTATAAATAGATTTATTGCATATAAATTATCATATCTCATTAGCATGCTTTGTTACTAAAATCAGAGGTAGAACCTTTTCTTCTTATATCTAAAGTTATAAACAGCTCAACAGCAAATTAATTAGGTTTTTTTCATATTGAAAAATATTGTATATGAAATAAAACCCAAAGGTATCATTTATGAGGTGATTCAGATACTATAAAGCTCATAATGCAGATGAATATGCTTCAAACTACTTTATATCAATAAGGGAGTTGTAAAGTTCTGATAAGAGCACATGGGTAGAAGAAGCTACTAGTGCTTTCTTTGTTTAAATATGTATCCTCTATTTGAAAGGAGGAGTCCTGGTGTGGCGCTGTGGGCTAATTACATCAGACTGCAAAGTCGTTTAAACTGCAAGGTTGGTGGTTCAAGCTCACCAGCTGCTCCTTGGAAACCCTATACAGGACTGCTATGGATCAGAATCGACTTGACGGCACTAAACAACCACAGCATTTGAAAGGAGCTCCAGTGGCACTGTGCTATACTAATTGCTCGACTCTTAACCCACCCTAGGAGAAAGAAGCGGCAGTCTGTTTCCATAAAGCGTATCACCTTGGGAACCTGTGGGGTAGAATTGACTCAACAGGCAGTGTGTTTGAGTTCTGGTGATTGTATCCTCTGTTTGTGAATCTATCATTCACTGACCACAGTTATTCTCAGGCCTGCCATTGAGACATGTAGTTGGGAAATAGGTATGGAAACAGGCCAGATTAATTTGCTTTAATTCATGATAAAACAAATTACCCAGGTCACCTTGCTCTTCATTGGCCTCTGTCATCTAGAGTTCACAAATATGTATTAGTCTTAGAAAGAAAGCATGTATATCCCCACAAACCCTGAGTTTTAAAATTTTAACCATATACTATTTTTTTTTTAGAAATTAGCATTAAAATACTTTTTGAGCTATTCACATAAAAATTGCTGATATTTCAAAAAGAAACAGAATAAGGACAGTTAATTTTGTTTTGTGGTGTGTGTAATATTTACTAGTTATGCAGAACTCGAATAGAGTAATAGTTTGGTAGAATAGGCAACACTAAAAGAAGAGCTTAAAGGTTTCATTGACCATTCTTGACTCTGATATTGATCCTTTTTTATTCTTCATGTTTTATTGTGAATTATATGATATTTTACATGGGAGAACTTTAGTTTTACATTCATTCCACCATACATCGTTTCATTGCCATGGTTCCAATCCCCTCCATGCATCATCAACCGACCAAAGGGTATACCCTATAAACCCGCCCCCTACACTCCCCCCCCCCCCCCATTCCTCAGCACAGAGTCCCTCTCCCCTCCCTCTCTGCCCTCTCTGGATCCAAAGTCCTCAGCCACTTCATCACTCCATGTCATATTGATCCATTTTTAAAAGGTCGCCTGGACTTGTGTTTCACTATACTAATGTGTAAAATAAGGAGTTTGGTTAGATCACAGGTGATTATGCACAGGGGCGTGGAATTACTGCTTCTATCCTGTGTTGGTAATGGTTGAACCCAAACTTTGTTTCCAGTCCTTTCCTTTTCAAGGCGTTGTGTGCCAGGTGTTTACTACAGGTTACTATAGTTGATTACAAAAATGAGCCCAATCTTAGAGGACTGAATATAAGGTAAGATTGTTTCTGCCAAATCCTTTCCTAAATCTTACTTCAGAAAAGAATATGTTTGAATTCTTACATTGAGACATTCTGTCAATGGGTTTGTTGTTGTTAGTGCCGTTAAGTTACTTCTGACTCATAGTGCCATCTAGAGGGTTTCCAAGGAGCGGCTTGTGGGTTTGAACTGCTGACCTTGAGGTTCAAACTGACCTTGTGGTCCAATGCATATCCTACCATGCTACACCAGGACCCACCAATGACTTTATTGGAACATAAGCAACAGTTCAAGAAGACCAAGTCTGAAAAGTCAATTAATACTAGTTTTGTATGCATATGGAAGCCCTCAGATAGATTCTATAAAAAAGAGATATTGGCATGCCATATAGACTTATTAATTTTTTCTGAGGGCATAGCTTTTCTGGGGGTAGGATAATGCGCTGGACTGAAACATTGGTTTGAACCACAAGGTTGGAAGTTCAAACCTATCAGCCACTCTTTGGAAACTATACAGGGTTGCTATGGGTCAGAACCAAACCAACTTGATGTCACTTAACAACAAAAACAGCAACTTGATAATTTGAATGATAGGTTTTGTAAACACTTTTTAAATAATGAATCTGAAAACACTCTTAAGTGCTTCTCAAACTATTCAGGCAAAGGACAAGGTTTTTAGAAAATTTTTGATTTGTTGCAGACTGATACTTTTGTAAAATGCAATAAAAATCAGGGGATTAGAAAACTGCTTATAAAGAAAGCCCTATAGATAGAAGCCCAGAATCCAACCTGTTCTGTACATTGAATTTTGGGCTTAAATCCGTAGGTCTTTCTTTATAAGCAACTTTCTTCTAATAATTAAATTTTTATTATATTTTACAAAAGTATCAGTCATCAACAAATAGGTAATTAAAAAAAAATATTACTCTCCCTAAGTGTTATGAGTCGGAAGTGACTCTACAGCACATAACAATAACAACAGCAAGTCTTATGAGGGAGGGTGTTGGCTTTGTAGGATAAGCACTGGACTGCAAACTGCAAGATTGGCAGTACAAGCCCACCAGCTACTCTGCAGGAGAAAGATGAGACTTTCTGCTCCCGCAAAGATTTACAGCCTCAGAAACCCTATCCAGGGTTACTATGAGTTAGAACCTACTTGGTGGCTCACAACAAAAACAAATTGTTATGAAAATTTCTTAAGTATTTCTCTCAAAAATTTTTAACAGTTTATAGAGTAACAGATGGAGTCCTGGTGTGGTGCCATAGGATAAGCAATCGACCTCAAGGTAGGTTTGAACTGCAAGGTTCGTGGTTCAAACCCACCAGCCGCTCTTTGGAAACCCTATACAGGGTCACTACAGGTCAGAACCGACTCCATGATACTTAACAACCAACAACAATGACAATAGTGTAATAAAGGCCATGAAGCACTCTCTCTGAGTGGCGTTCCTGAAAGTAGCTATGTTTTAGAAGTTACATATATAGAGAACAGATGACAAAATTCCCCAAGTTTTGTGAAAATTGTGGTGGCACATGGGAGAGAATGTCCTAAACTGAAGTTGTTGCCTGTTGTGTAAGCAAAATTTTGACACATTTATTATGTAATATAGTAGCAGTTAAATAGTTGGGACAAAAACCATGTTGTGTGCACAGCCTAAAATATTTGGTACCAGTTAGTTTCTCCTTGGAAGAGTTTGTTAATGCCTATTTTAGATTAAAAAATGATAATTAAGAATGACAGCTACTTACGTATTGATTGCTTCCTTACAGTGTTTTCTTTGTTTCTTGTTAGCTTTAGACATATTATTGCTTGGCTTTTTTTTCTGTAGTCACTGATGTGCCTCAAATAAATGTGAACACAACTGAAGAAAATGAATACATCACGAAAGATCAAAAAAAGAAGAGGAAAAGAAAGTATAAAGATTATCAACCCAACTATTTTCTATCCATTCCGATCACTAACAAAGAGGTACTTAAATTTTTTAAAAATTACTTTCACTATAAAGTTTTATGGTAATTATATTTTAGGTTCACTAACTTCTTGAAAATTTACTTACTTTCTGCTTCTGAGAATCTTTGGTGACATTTTAGCTGGGCTATATAGCTTATAAAGGATCTCTGGTAGTGTAGTGGTTATGGATCGGGCTGCTAATGTCAAGGTCAGCAGTTCGAAACTGCCAGTTAGTTGTTCCACGGGAGAAAGATGAGGCTTTCTGCTCCCATAAAGATTTGCAGCCTCGGAAACCCTGTGCAGGGTCACTATGAGTTGAAACCGACTCCATGGTACTTAACAACAACAACAGTGCAGTGTATACAGGGAGTATTCCTATTTAGGAGTCCTGGTGTGGCACTGTAGAATTAGCACTGAACTGCTAACCACAAGGTCGGTGGTTCAAATCCAGCAGCCACTCCTTGAGAAACCGTATACTGGGTCACTGGTAATTGGAACTGACTTGATGGTACTTAACAACAGGAATAATTCCAATTTCCAGAAGCTTGTTGTTATTTGCCATTGTGTAGATTCAGAATCATGGTAACTTTTGATACAACAGAAAGAAACATTGCCAGACATCATTGTCACCAGCATGTGTGATGCCATCACTGTGGTTATTACCGTGCTAACCGATCTCACCAAGGATTTCCATGTCCTTGTTGGCTCCCTACTTCACCAAATAGGCTATCCTCCTCAAACAACAGATCCCTCTTGATGATGTGTCCAAAGCAAAAAAGCCACAACACTCTCTTATGGTCTGTAAGATTTTCATTGGCTAATTTTCTGAAGTAGTTTATGAGGACTTTCTTCCTAGTCTTTCTTAGTCTGGAAGGTCTGCTGAAAACTGTCCATCATGGGTGACCCTGCTGGTATATGAACTACGAGGAGGCATAACTTCCTGCATCAGAGCATCATGCAAACCACTGTGAGAGGAGTGCTACATTTTAGCAGTAGGAACATTTTTGAATAATTTTGTCAAAACTTATTTTTGACAATCATTGAAATAATAACTTCTATAAAAATTACTTGAAGAAGTGTTGCTGGGTGGTGTGTCAAGGCTTGGTGAACTAAAGTAACTGTTCAGAGGCAGGTAACAGTGATGAGGTAAGAAAACAGGATTCTGAGTCTCTGCTGTGAAAGTGCCCTGGGCTCTTTGCCCTGCTTTGACCTGTTGATGGTAGAGATGACTGTAACATTTTGCTGTTGCTAGATGCCGTTGGTCGGTTCCAACCCATAGTGACTTTATGAGAACAGAATGAACACTGCCTGGTCCGGCACCATTCCTGCAATGATCGTTAAGTTTGAGCCCATTGCTACTGCCACTGGCCAGTCCATCTTGCTGAGGGTTTTCCTTTGTTTCTCCGACCTCCCACTCTACCAAGCATGATGTTCTTCTCCAGGGATTGGGGCTTCCTGATAATATATCCAAACTATGAAGATTTTTGTTTTCTTTACATTGAGATTCAACCCATACAGAAGTCTTTGATTTTTACCAGTAAATATTTTAAGTCCTTTTCTCTCTTAGCAAGCATGGTTGTATCATCTGTATATTGCAGGTTGTTAATGGGTCTTCCTCAATCCTGATGCCACGTTCTTCATATAATCCACCTTCTCAGATTATTTGCTCAGCATACAGATTGAATAAGTATGGTGAAAGAATACAGCACAACTTTCCTAATTTTAAGTCATTCAGTTTCCCTTGTTCTGTTCAAATGATGGCCTCTTGGTCTTTGTACAAATTCCTCATGAGCACAATTAAGTGTTCCAGAATACTCATTTGCTACAATGTTGTCCACAGTTTGTCTTGATCTACACAGTTGAAAGGCTTTGCAAAGTCAATGAAACACAATTCCATCTCTTCCTCTGAATCCTGGGTGAATTTCTGACAGTACACAGGGATATACTGCTGCAATCATTTTTGAATTATCTTCAGAAAAATTTCACTTGCATGTGATATTATTGATATATTGATTTCTGCTTTCCACTGGGTCACCTTTCTTTGGAATGAGCACAAATATGGATCTGGAGGTGCTTACTCATTTATGTGAAGACATTTGGAAGATAGTTTACCTGGCTTACCAATGAGGAGGGATCCATGTATGTGCCCACTCCAAAGAAAGGTAACCCAGGGAAAGCAGAAGTCACAATATCATTAATATCACATGCAAGTGAAATTTTGCTGAAGATAATTTAAAAATGATTGCAGCAGTACATTGACAGTGAGCTGCCAGAAATTCAACTTGGATTCAGAGGAGGAGGTAGACAAGGGATATCATTGCTGATGTCAGATGGATCTTGACTGAAAGTGTAGAATACTAGAAAGAAGTTTACCTGTGTTTTATTAACTATGCAAAGGTGTTGGACTGTGTGGATTTTGACAAGCTATGGATAACATTGCAAAGACATGGTATTTCAGAACACTTAATTGTGCTCACAAGGAAACTGTATGTAGACCAAGAAGCAGTTGTTTGAACAAAACAGGGGGAAACTGAATGGTTTAAAATCAGGAATGGTGTGTGCCAGGGTTGTATTCTTTCACCATACTTATTCAATCTGTTGTTGTTATTGTTAAGTGCTGTTCCGACTCATAATGCCCCTGTATAGGGTTTCCAAGGTGAGTTTGTATCATTGACCTTGCAATTCAGACCAACCTTTCATTCCAGGGCTTATCCTACAGTGTCATCCATACTAGGACTCCCATTTCATTTGTATGCTGAGCAAATAATCTGTGAATCTGGATTATATGAAGAAAAATGTGACATCAGGGTTGGAGGAAGACTCATTAATGACCTGTGATATGCAGATGATACAACCTTTCTTACTGAAAATGAAGGGGACTTAAAATACTTACTATGAAGATCAAAGACCAGAGCCTTCAGTATGGGTTGCACCTCACTGTAAAGAAAAACAGAATTCCTCACCAGTGGACTAATAAATAACATCATAATAAATGGAGAAAAGATCGAAGTTGTCACAGACTTCCTTTTGCCTGGATCCACTGTCAATACTCATGGAAGCAACAGTCAGGAAATCAAATGACTTATTGCATTAGGTAAATCTGCTTCACAAGACCTCTCTAAAGTGTTTTAGAGCAAAGATGCCAGTTTAAGGACTAAGATGTGCCTGATCCAAGTCATGGTATTTTCAGTTGCCTCGTATGCATGTGAAAGTTGTACAGTGACTAAGAAACACCATAGAGCAATTGATGTATTTGAGTCATGGTGTTGGAGAAGAATATTAAAATATCATGGACTGCCAGAAGAATAAACAAATCTGTGTTGGAAGAAGTAACAGACAGAATGTTCCTTAGAAGCAATGGTGGTGAGACTTTGTACTTTAAACACATTATTAGGAGGGACCAGTCTGTTGAGAAGGACATCATGCTTGGTAATATGGAGGGTCAGCAAAAAAGAGGAGGACACCCAATGAGAAGGATTGATACAGTGGCAACAACACTGAGCTAGGGCATGGCAATGATTCTGAGAATAGCGCCGAACCTGGCGGTATTTTGTTTTGTTTTTCATGGGTTCACTATGAGTTGGAACCTACTGAATGGCACTAAACAATAATAGCAATCATAAACATAAATAAATTCTTTAGGGAAAATTTTGGAAAAATCAAATCTAAAAGACAGTGTTTGGAGTCCTGGTGCTATGGTGTATGATAAACACTGGAAGGAATGCTAACTTCAGGGTTGGAAGTTCAAATCCACTGTTCACTCTTTGGAAACCCTAAACCTATACAGGGTTATTTTGAGTTGGAATTGACTCGATGGCACGTAACAACAACCATAAGACACCATTTAGTTGAGGAGAGAAGATGCATAAGAAAAGAAAAATGATGTAATGATACAAGATTTTAGAATTTGATACCATTTCTGACTTTACTGTATGTACTTATTTGATTATTTTGGCACCTTATCAGTAACATAGTGCATAAAAATGTTTAGGTGATACAGAGTTTAATTGATAATTTTTTATTAAAATAGTCATACGTCATTTGGATAGGTTTTCTTTGAGATTAAGCATAAAGCAGGAAGTCAGAGCGTGGCCCTACTTTATTAAACAGTCCAATCGAAGGCTGGTCCTAAGAGGACTGTTAAATAGATGAAGAAACTTTCCCTATGGCAGGCATGTGGGTACTATTTAGAAGCGAATCTAGGCTCTTTGTTTTGATTTATTACTTAGAAATATTCCCACCATGGAGTGTCTCAATGTAGATGTTTGATAAGCACTTCTATATGCTGTTTTAATTGTTGTTACGTACAGTTTGTCGATTCCAACTTACAGTGATCTCGTATAGAGCTTCCAAGGAGTGGCTGGTGGATTTGAACTGCCGACCTTGTGGTTAGCAGTCCAGTAGGCCATACATTTATGTTTCATCATCTTTCTCCAGTACCTCCTCCCATTCCCATCCTAGCCTTCTTCTTACCTGTTCCAAAGAAGACTGGCGGACAGCTGTGAAGGCAGGTGGGAAAGGGATGTAGCCGAGAGCAGACAGAGAGATTCTTTCCTTCCACCGCTTGGTTCTGGTTGACAGTGGGATTTGGGCCACAGAGATAATTCTGTCTCTTGCTCTGTGTTTCATACTGCAAATTGCTTTCTAGTTCTCAACTTCTGTGAGCACGTGTACACAGTGAAAAGAGGACAAGCTTTGGAGCCCCACAGGCCTTGTTAGGATGCCAGCTGGGTCACACATTGCACTGTGGTCACTTTACTGACTTTCTGTGAGCTTCAGTTTCTTCAGGTTTAAAATGGATATGATAATATCTACCTCAAATGATTATTTTGTAAACCCAAATCTGGACATATCACTTACCTGCTTATACACCTCAGTATTTTGTCCTTAATAGTAGGAGAAAGACAGTTCTTACCATACATTCCTTCCCATGTTCTGCATAGTTGGCTGTTCCTCCCAGCCTCTTTTCTGTATCCATTGTTCTTCCTGCTTGAGCTCCTCTGGCTGGCTGTCCTTGA